TTACTTCCTTGTGTACTATAACTTTTTAGATTCTAAGCTGGTGGGCAGGGACTACCTTGTTTAATTGATTATATGTAGGCTGCTCTGGAAGCATTTTCAGCTGAAGTGTAGCATAAAACATTTTCAGACAAGAACAACATCACCATGTTGTTTAGAACAAATGCTGTTGTACATATAATGGCTTCTTCACATTTCTGCCCCTTAGTCTGTTCTACAGTCACAGTAACAGGTACAATTACAGTGTAAGCAAATCTATTTTTGTTCCATACCTGAAAGGGAATAACAAGATTCACAGCTTCTCCAACTCGTCGAATGTAAGTTTGCTTTAAGTGTCGTGGCAGACGAATCTTTGGAGGTTCTTAATTTTTAAAAAAAATAAAATTTAATATATTTAATCTTTTTAATATATCTGATTCAATGCTGATTAATAAACTGAGATTAAACCATAGTTTCCTGGTTTGGATGGAACCAAAAATGTAGTTTAAACTAACCAGGATTAAAGTAATAGAGCAGTAAGATGTGGGCCCAAAGTTCATTCTTGGATTAATAAACTGCTGTCTGTTAAATTGAGATTGTTATACCTGAACTGCCCCTTTACATTTTCTAAAACCCTTTCTCAAAGTTGAATTTCAAGAACAATATTTCACAAGGATGAACTTTTAAATTGTTGAATTCTGCAGCTGAAAAATGCATATTTGTGCATCATTGTATTTCATCTGCAGTACACACATGGGTAGAAAAATCCGGGCTTAGACTCTGCATTCCTCCTGGGGTGGCACTCCTCATTTTTGGCACCAGGCATTCTCATTCCCGCTTCAGCTGACATGTGGGTTCTGAACCTGAAGCTGCTACCAAGCGGAATCCCAAATGACTTCTTCCAGAGAAAGCCACCTGGTTGCTGGGGCAGGCTGCTCTTCCAAAGCAAAAACCTTTAGAAATAGGCATCACTCATGTCCATGTACGAGTACTATAAACCTAACAGCCTCAAATGATTGTCTCCTTAGTAGCAGTGACCTCAACCCTTTAAAATGTAATTGGACAGGAAGCACACACTAGACTAATTTAAAAATAGCCAGAAGGCTAAACACACACAAGAAATAGGGAAAGATTGTGCTAATCCTAATCTGGAGTGGGCATTAACACCTCTGCCACCGGACCCTCCACCTCAGTCTTCTGTGTGCTTCACAGTGACCCTGCAGTGGCAAACCTCAGCAGTGCCAGCCTGTGGGGGTGAATATGACCCAGAGTGGGACGCCTTTGGCCTACAAACCTTAAGAATTTGCCCTCCAGTGATCTAGATAATGTACAAAGTAGGCATCGGTGAAAGCAATCTCAACCATAACTAATTGTTTGAGGCTCCCATGAGTTCCAGGGAAATGTTAATCTCACCTATAACTTCCTTGACTAAAATGGGCTGTGGATGCAGCCGAGGCTCACTTGGACCGGCAGCATTCACAGCTTTTACACGAACAAAGATTTTTGCTCCTGTTGGAAGCCCTGTGATGGTGAACTTTGTTTTGTCCGTTAGGTCAGGATTGGCCACAATCCATTCTTCCGCTGAAGTAGGATAAAAATGCAAGGGAAAAAAGATGAACATCAATAATTTTTATATGAATGTGGTTCTGTGAAGAAAAGCACTGAACATTTTTAAGTAGCTGTAGCAAACTGAATATATTTCATTTCCTTAAGTATTCATCTTCATGATGAAACCACCAGTTCCCACTATGATTTGATGTAAGAAGCAAATGTTATCTGATATCAAAAGACTATCAGTATTCTCAGCTTTTGACATATACTGTTACCACTAACACATATTGTTACCAAAAACACAACAGGATAAAATCATTAGAATTATTCTTCAGTAGGGTAAGTCATCAATTTTTCTATATTGCTTCTTTAAATAGAAAGTTAACATGCAAGCAACACAATATTTATCAGGTGCAATAGCAAAAATTCACATGGAATTTGATATCTGGCACACTATTAGGACCAAATCATTTCCTGTCTCTTTTGAAGAAAAGTTTCCTAGCTTTCATGGATGAAAAATATGTAATGTGTGGACACTCACACACATGGCTGTATTGTTCAAGCACTAATAGTGACCTTGGTCATGTTTGCACATACGAATCTATGCCTTCCTCATCAATCCATGTCTGTTCTCCTGCTGTCACAGCATTTCGTTTCAACATTTCCTTTTAAACAAAATGCAAAGGTCCATATGCAAAACTCTAGTGGTGACCGAGTACCAGGGTAATGCCACATATAATTGTTAAAGTTGTGTGGATGCTTCCAGTGTGCCCAAAGAATTCCCAGCAGGGAAATGCCTCTCTATTCTCTAAAACAAATCTGGCAAGAGTTTTGCTGGCCAAAACTCACCTAGGAAATTCAGAAGACTGAACTCACAGATATGCAAAGAATATGTATAAGCTCATTGTTTATGCAATTTATGGAGCATAGAGTGTGGGGTCTTTTAACAAAGAATTTGATTTTTTGGGCAAAGAATATGACAAGTTCTGGCATGATCACAAACACTGATGGAATGCCACTGGTGTCTGTACCCAAGATAGTCAATTCACCCCCAGTGGTACGCAATGGTTACTGTTAGCATCCACAACACTACAATACAGGTGGTAAGAGAACAACGTGAAGTTATTTTCTCTTGCTTGACTTTGTCCTTTTCTGTGTAAGTACTCTGGAGTTAGAACAGAAGCTACCATTAGAGAAAATCCACTAATGTCCGATTCACCAAGAAACACGTGGGTGAGCAGCAAGTGACCTGCCATGTTGATGTACAATCGGTGCATTGTCTAAGATGCATATTTCTTATTTCACCATTTTTGTCTCAGGAATACTCCCAAGAACAAAAATTATACTTGATTACTAGCAGGCTAGACTGACAAAGGATACCTGAAAATGAACAGGATCATTAACAGCATATGTCTTGGGGAAAATAACAGTTGCATTACACAAAAGGAACCTAATATACTTATAGCCAGGAACTAAACAGCTCCTCCTAAATTACAGTGGGGTGTACCTGCAGCCAACCTGTAGCATCATATAGAGAAAAAACGCTCCTTGGGGATTAGTGACCTGCTTCCAGTGTAAACAACACAAGACCTGATTCAGAGTTCTGTGGACAATTAAATCATGGTGACACACGATCAGGTTATAAAAAGACTAGATTTTTGTAATCTCTACATGGGATTGCCTCTAGGGGCAATTTGGAAACCACAGCTGGCACAGAAAGCAGCAGTAAGAATGCTAGAGTACACACCACCAATTCTGTTACTACTTACAGTGGTTTCTGGGCCCACTTTAAAATGATGATTTTGGCCTTCAAAGCCCTGATTGGTTTGCAATTAAAGGATTACTTACATCTGTACAAATCTGTTTGTTCTCTAAATTCAGCTTTTGAGGCTCTGCTCCCTGGCCTGTGAATAAGTGATGTTTGAGACAGTTGTGGGCCCACACTTGTTGAATCCTGTCTCTTAGGAAGGGGATTTGGTCCTACTGCTGTTTGCTTTTAAGTGAAACCGTAAAACAGTTTTATTTCAATCTTCATTTTATTAAAATTTACATCTTGATGACATTTTACCAATCATTTTAAGATGTGTAATGTGGCTTTTAATTTGACTATTTGTATTTCTGCATGTTGTGCAATTGTGCTCTACCCTGCTCTGAGATGGCCACATGCCCTGAAAGACCACTTTTGGTAGCATCCACTGGTGTATCAGTGCTAGTGCTAGGGAGGTGCTCGTGTAAACCAAAAGTCTGGAACATAATTAGCACAACAGGAAAAAGTGATGATTTGGTGCCAAAATTATGTGGCGGCACCAAAATTCAGCCGCAGATCACTGCTTTTCCCTGCCATGCTAATTGCATTGCACAAGCATCTGTTTGCACTAACACCGCATCTTTAATGGTCATACTGAGACACTCTCGGGTACTTGCATATACATGTCTCTCGATATGCATGCATATATGTTAATACACTTGGTTGAGTTCCAAACAAGCACATGTATGTTCCTTCACTTCAGTGTTGGGCAAGTCTTGGAAATAAAGCTGTGCACATGGAACTGAAACGGCACTGAATGGGGAGGTGCTTCTGCATGACAGCTCCATGTGCACAGCAGAGCTCTCCACAGACCAGGAGTCTCCAGACTGTGGCTCCAGATTTCATCTGGGCACCATCAAAGTACTCTTTAAACATTTCCTTTAGAAAAAAAGTGTCATTTTAGACTGAAAGATAAAACATTATTGTATATATGACTAAAGTACACCTGGTGGAAGAAAGTAACCACATTTATTATTTAAAACTGGTTCTTCTTGAAGGGACTGATTAACTAGGAAAGCACCATATCCAGGCACATACACAAAGCCACAAAGCAAGCCACTTTTTACAAGCTTCAGTTAACCACTGCCAAACTGAAATTATAATAACTTACCTCACAGGACTTATGAAAATAAAGAAAATAACAGCTGCGAAAGGTTAAAATTGCTTCACAGGTTAAAATTGCTAAATATATTGTATAATTAGTAATAGGATTTCTGTTCCCTGAACAGTTCCATCAGTTTTCATTCAAATTATGTTGGATCTTTGCTACAGCAAATAGAACCCCCTAAAAGAGTTGTTATTATATAGGGGTGTGGGGAGATCCCAGAAAGAATGTTCAAGTATCTTCATTGCATACTTTACCTTCCAGGTCATAGGTTGCCTCCAGAAATTCACCATCATATACTTCTGCCGATAAACCTTATGAGAGTCCATCATTACAATTAATTGAGAGACACCCACTTTCACACAGGCAGTAAATGAGTCAGCAGTTAGTACTACCTGTTAGTAAGTATACAGAGATATGCACTGCACCTTGAAGACGAGGTTTGGAATAATCAAAGAACTGGCAAGATAGTGGATCCAATCTGTGTGTGTTGGTGTGCATGTGTGACCCCTACCGCTGGTAAACCACTGTTTGTTTGACTTCATCCTTTGTTTCGTTCAGAATGAGGCTCCAACCGCAGATCAAAGGGAAATGGCATCATGAAAAGGGGTCAAGGAGAGGATGATGTTGGAACACTCACAGGGTTTGGGTGTCTTCTCTTCAGTCTGCATCTTGCTCCCGTCTGCCTCCTCACTATTATTTTGGTCTGTACCACTGTTTCCCTTGCCCTCTGTAGTGGGCGCCTGGGAACCTAAATGATTTGGAAAGTACACATGGGAATTTACAGTCATAGGCAGAAGAGCCTTTTTGACTGGCATATCTGAGCATCCAGAGAAAGAGAGAGGGAAAGAGAGAAAACTGAGACAGATGAGAAATTTGACGAGATAAGCAGGAGAAATCCATTGAGAAAGAGAAGATTTAACAGGAAGAGAAGATGGAAGTGTAATCCAGAGTAAGAAAGAGAAAACCAGAAGAAATAGAAAAGAAGAATAGCATATAGAGGGATGTGCTGACATAAGGTATTCTGCAAGATTTCTCATCTGACTACAGTTGTAATCCACTGATTGAACATCGTAAGCTCAGCCTCCATCAGTATTGCTATTTGAACAGCTGAATTCATTGTTCTTTGGTTTTTATAATTTCTAATGGAACCCCACAGTGCACAGCATGTGTGGTTTCCCAGACTGCAGCATATGATTAAAACACTGTTTGAGGACTCCTGCCTTGCAAGGGGAAGCAATGATAAAGCTGTGGACCATGAAATGAACAATTACAACTGGGAGCTTGTAGAAACAGCCAGGAGTACTAGTGTTGCAATGATCAGAACACAGTCCATTATCACATGATGTTAATCTTATCTTATTTATTTCCACTGCAACCGATTCTGGCTTACTTGTGACTTGCATATATATGTCCACAATCAGAGGACATTGAGAAAAATGAAACTTTTAGAGTACAAACTTTACTTGAGGCTGTTTACTGACTGATGGGTTGTTGATTTGAGAAAACAATATTTTATCACGCTCCTCAGTTCAGTACACTGGGCCAATATTCAGGTCACAGGGTCCAACCTTATTGTGCAGTTATGCTTTTGTCATATTGGTGCCAGAGAAAAAGGAAAACAAATCAGGCAAGCTGATCTCTTTATCACATAAGCCGATGAAGACTTCTGTATAACTTGCATATTGGAGCTCTTACAGAAATATGAATCTCTCTCTTCTCTCTCTCAAGTTATAGTGAGCAAGAGAGAGAGAGAGAGAGAGGTGTTCATGTGTGTGTTTGTACTGATTGGAGGTATAGGCCAAAACTCCTAGAGGGTCACTTGTTGTCAGAGCCTGGTATGTGTGTGTGTGTGTAATTCACCATGGTCTAGTTTGAAGCAATTTATATATTATGTAACAAACCATGGGTTAATTGCTGGGTTGTTTAGCCCCTCAGTAACCCACTGCACTGGGTTTGGATGATATGATAACGGTGTAAGACACATTCAATCATAGCTTGTTAATTAAAAGTGGAAGTGGCAGATGCATGACAAGCAGCACATCCACTATCTCCTGCCAATTTGAGGGTTAAACAAATTTATTTCACTTGCAAACAAGATCAATGATTTATGGTGTGGTATAATGAACAAGTGAATAAAGGTCTCTAATTATTCAGGTGCCCATTCCCTTATTTTCAGTTCCCTAAATCTTCAGTTATGATTCCTGATATTGTAAATGAATGAGGAACTGAATGAGTTAAGAGTATTTTAATATCTGATATGTCAGTTAAGCCAGTGCTTGATTCTTTAAACCTATGCATGTATGTGTACATGGAATAGGATATCAGTTCCACTGAAAGCTGAGAATCTCTTTTCCATGTTTATCTCTTTTCCCAAGGACATTTTGTAAAATAAAAATTCTATGATTAAGACACCCTACTAGTACCCCATTCAAGGGCAATAGACAAAAGAGAGAGAAGAAGAAGAAGAAGAAGAAGTAGAAGAGAGGAGAGAGAAGAGGAGAAAGAGAAAAGGACTGATAGAATAAGTAAGTAGAAGAGGAGAAAGGTAGAATTGAAAAAAAGTGACAGCCGAAAGATTGACAGTCAAAGAAAGTATTCCTGGAAATCTAGGTGAAACATTAAACTATGTAAAAAAATTAGGTGAAGAAAAAGTACTGGAGAAAAAGAGATGAAGAACAGAGAAATTGAAAGAATAAAGAAAGGTAGAGACAAGGTAGAGCAAGAGATACAGCAGTAAACATCATTTTGTATTCTCCAGATAGTTTTGTTCCACAGTGTTACAATATATACACAAATAAATTATCTTTGTGTGTGTGCATATATATCTATCATATATACACACATACACACAAATCCAGGTGTATATCTAGATATGCAATGCATAAGTAGATTATACAGAATGCACGCAATACTGTTTGTAAAATACATTACTACTGTATTTTATCAGAGGTGGGTAATACCAAAATGGCAGACCCAGCTGTCATTTTGAGATATCTTCTTAAAGCTTTTAAGCCTATCTGAAAGAAAAAAGTAAAGGTTTTGCTCCATTCAACAAGGACATAACGAAGTTTTATCTGATGAATCCTGAAATATCTGTCTCAGTTATTGCTAGATTTACCATTCACCCTGTATGCCTATAGCATTTTACTTGGTTATATAGAATTTCTTTGTGGCAGCTAATTCAAACAAACATGGTAGTTATACTTTGATATTTTCACAAATTGGCTTTTTTCAACATGCTGGAACTGATTCTGTGAATGCTCCTTCTACACGTCTTAAGATAATGTTCATATGTCACATCAATCCACCTGACGCCACCCCCTCTCCCTGTGAGTCTCCCTGAAGCAGCATCTCCCCTTCCTTTCTACAATTGCAAACTGTCTAAATTCCAATTTGAAAAAGGAACCTTACCTTTGACTGCTGTCAAAACTAAGTACTCTTATAAATAGGATGGCTCACCCTTTTCTATGTTCCCAAGCACCTAGAGTCTTTGGAAGAGGTAGAAAAGTGACAGTCCCCCTAAAACAGGTCAAGACTGGGGTAGTGGCGGGGGGGGGGGGAATTGAAAAATCTTCAGAGAAGGGGTTATGACCCCCTCTGTTTCACTGGCACAAACCACTTGTGTCTTTGGTCTGCCTTTGCAGCTTGCCTTTTGACAGCTGTCACACCAAATCAAAGCAGGCAAAAATGACTATTTGGAGCCTCTCTGGGTCAATATTCAGGTATTTTCTGCAGTTTGCTGGCAGGTACCATAAGTATACAGGTGGACACGCCCCATAACAGGACTGCATAAGTGCACAAGTGTGCACCTATAAAAGAACAAAATAAATTTTCAAAAATGTGTAAATATTTGCACACAAATATTTGCACATTAAGAGGTTAACCTTTTGCAACTATGCACAGTCCTGCCAAGATGCCACATAAACATTTTGAAGAAGCTGTCAGTGGCTGTCAAGATGGGGATTGTGAAAGCTTGCTCTCAAGAAGGAAAAAGCCACAGTGTGCTAAAAATGCTGGCAATCATGGCAGGGAAGGCAGGGAGTCAGTGACAGCAGCACCTGGGCTGCAAGCACCTGCTGGGCTGGATTGGCTGTCATTGGTGGTGACCTGGGCATGACTGAAAAGAGGAGGAAGGGGCTCTGTTGCATTTGCCCCTTCTCTTCACTTGGATCCAGATGGCACACCAGACCATGGGTGAACAACTCCAACTACAAGACATGGCTCATCAAGGCAGCTTAGAACCCAAAAATAAGCCACCCTAGGAGAAGGGATCTGTATCTGCTTTTCTATACTATCTGTGGATTATTATTTTTTCTTCCTCATCACTTATCCCAACTCCCATACAAACAATAATACGGCAGCTCTGGTTTCTGGAATATTGGAAATATTAAGCTAACCCAGTGGTGGCGAACCTATGGAATGTGTACCACAGTGGGCACGCAGAGCCCTCTTTGTGGGCGCACGAGCCAAGTCGCCCCAGCATCGCCCCAGCAGCTGAGGATTGCATAACAGCGCACATAGGAGCCATGGGCATGCTCGGAAAGGAGCAGTGGGGCCAGGCAATGACGTCACAGGCCACAACACATTAGATGCGACTCGTCCGAGCTTTCGCATGGCTGGTCAGTGCGCTGCCAAGGATATATATATATTTGCTTGGACTAGCTGTTTTCAGGTTTTATTGCAGTGGTAGCACTTTGCGATAAATAAGTGAGTTTTGGGTTGCAGTTTGGGCACTCAGTCTCTAAAAGGTTCACCATCACTGGGATAGGCTTAATAAAATGAGGTGTAAGGCATGATTTTGATGGTTGAATGTGTTTAGAATGGGCAGAAATGATGAGTGGTGCAGAAACTACTCAAGGAAGGGTTTTTCAAAATCGCCCTCTTTTTAATGGAAATTTCACCCTATATTAGGGTTAGGGATGGGCACCAGGGTAGGCTTAGGGTTCAAAAAATGAGGAGTCCTGGCAAGATTTCTTGGTTGGAATGTGTTCAGAGTGGCCAGAAATGATGAGCAGCGCAGAAAAAGCTACAAAAGGAAGGCCTTTTCAAAATCGCATTACTTTCAATGGTAGTTTAGCCCTATATTAGGGTTAGGGGTGTGCACCAGGGTAGGGTTAGGGTTAGAAAAACAAGGTGTCCTGGCATGATTTTGATGGCTGGAATGTGTTCAGAATGGGCAGAAATGATGAGCAGTGCAGAAAAAGCTACTGAAGAAAGTTTACTTTCAATGGTGTTTTAGCCCAATATTAGGGTTACGAGTGTGCACCAGATTAGGGATAAGGTTAGAAAAAAGAGGTCTCCTGGCATGATTTTGATGGCTGGAATGTGTTTAGAGTGGGCAGAAATGATGAGCAGCGCAGAAAAAGCAACAAAAGGAAGGCCTTTTCAAAATCACATTACTTTCAGTGGTATTTTCCCCCTATATTAGGGTTAGGGGTGTGCACCAGGGTAGGGTTAGGGTTAGAAAAATGAGGCGTCCTGGCATGATTTTGATGGCTGGAATGTGTTTAGAGCGGGCAGAAATGATGAACAGTGCAGAAAAAGCTACTCAAGGAAGGCTTTTTCGAAATTGTATTACTTTTAATGGTATTTTAGCACTATATTAGGGTTAGGGGTGTGCACCAGGGTAGGGTTAGGGTTCGGAAAACGAGGTGTCCTGGCATGATTTTGATGGTTGGAATGTGTTTGGAATGTGCAGAAATGAGAAGTGCCGAAAAAGCTATTCAAGGAAGGCTTTTTCAAAATTGCATTATTTTCAATGGAAGTTTACCCCTATATTAGGGTTAGGGGTGTGCACCAGGGTAGGGTTAGGGTTTGGAAAACGAGGTGTCCTGGCATGATTTTGATGGTTGGAATGTGTTCAGAATGGGCAGAAATGATGAGCAGTGCAGAAAACACTACTCACTTTGGGTACTCGGTCTCTAAAAGGTTCACTATTGAAATACTGTTGAATTGTATGGCAGGATTTTTTGGCTTGTTTGCACTGATTTTTATAACAATTTTCCATATTTTCCTGTTTTCTTAAATGGCCCTATATGGTGATGAATGGCAAAATAGGGAGAGTTTAAATCCCACTAAGACAATCCTTACACATGTCTGCTGATTTCTAGATGATGCTGTTAATAAAAATAGTAGGCCAGCCTTGTAAAAATAGCTTTTGCCTAGATGCAAAGAACAGCAGCATATATTAAATATGTTTAATACTGTGATAGTATTAGGTGCTGGGGGACTATGGCTCTTATGCAGTTATGCCATGGAGTACCGCTATTTGTTTTTCGGTGCCAGGAGACCTTTTTATTTAAGCGGCGTTTTAACTGTTAGTATCATTTGATCTTATCTAGCCAGGGTGGCTTATTTTATATTGTATTTTTTGAATTTTTAATGTTTATATTTATTGTAATTTATATTATAATGACTTTTATTTATTGTTGTAAGCCGCCCCGAGGCTTCGGCGAATGGGGCGGCATAAAAATGTTTTAATAAATAAATAAAAAATAAATAAATAGTGGAAGTCAGAGGATGACATGTTGCATAGAGCATTTTCCTCGTGGGGAAATGGGTACAGGATTGCATTCAGTACTTTCTTCAGCAGAGATGTGCTGCCAAAGATTAAAAGATGGTTCTCCATAGGTTAAGGCAGCCCCTGCACCTTCCAGATCTGCTGGACTGCAACTCTCATCACCCCAGGAGGCTGGCTGGGATTGACTCTGTTTGTGGCTCAGCACTTCTGAAGGAGAAGCTTGGACTGGAGTGTGAACCATCTCACCTAAAGCTTAATCTAAGGGACAGGAAGGAAAGAATTGCTTTCCAAACAAGCTGCCATGAACCATATACTGTATATGCTGACTTTACCTGTAACACAGTTAAAATTGAATTTAAGGCATTCAAGATGACCCTTCTATTCTCAAACATTTCTTAAAAGAACTTACTTTCCCCCCACAGAATTTGCATACCATTCCCTGCCCTGTTCCTTTCCTCATTCTGTATAACAGCAATATCGAGTTTCTTGCCATAAATCAATGGCTCCTTCTACTTTTAACAAGACTCATAAAATTCATGAAATCAGACATTTTTGGAATCAGATCATACTGAAAAGAACTTCCTTTCTTTCCACTTTATGCATATATTTAATTCTAGCTTTCTCTTTTCATCCAAGAAGTTCTCATACAGTACAATTCTATGCATGTCTACTCAGAAGTAAGTTACTTTAGTTTCAATGGTGCTGATTTTCAGGTAACCATGTATAGGATAGTAATATTAAGATGCAAATAGGAATTTTGTAGCTCATGCTGTTCTACCATCCTACATTTAAACCACTTCCTTCTAACTTCCATAGGCCAGATTTTGAAGAATGTTCAGATTACCTTAACCCTGTATCAGATTAAAAATAAAAATAAAGTAAAATTTATAATGGCTTTTAATTCTGGCAGCAATCATCAATAATTTTAATTATCTGGCATTATCTTTAGGTGCTAAACATTTGGAAATCACAAACTGTACTTAAACATAAAATCTGCTGTTCCAAAAGTA